TTATGACTAGCTGGTTAAATTTTATTGGGTGAAGTGGAAATCATGTACCGTGAAATCACTGTTGCCAAGAAAACTTAGAAATGTTAAGTCCTATGACTGTATTCAAAAAATATAAATTGTTTAAGCATTATTGTTTGGATTTGCTATATAAAAACCCTAAGCTGAAAAAGAAATCTGAGCAGTCCCCCTGAAGACGCTGGCTCCGTGTCTTCTTCGCCAACTCCAACCCTCACTCTCTGGGTCAACCATGGCTGGCAGAGGCTGGACCCCTGCAAGGGAGAGGAAGACGGATATTATATGTTTTCACCCATATGTGGAACAGGAGAAGCTTAACAGAGGACCATGAGGGAGGGGAAGGGGAGAGAAAATCGTTAAGGAGAGGGAGGAAAGCAAACCATAAGAGATTCTTAAAAGCTGAGAACAAACTGAGGGTTGATGGGCGTGGGGGAGGGGGTAAAGAGGTAGTGGGCATGGAAGAGGACACTTGTTGGGATGAGCAGTGGTGTTATATGGAAACCCATTTGACAATAAAGTATATTTAAAAAATAAAATAAATTATATATAAGTAATTTTCAAACAAAGGAGACTAACTCATTCAAGTGATCTAAATTTAATTCATTTGCGGAACTCTTATCTCCTTTTATCTTCTTCAAGGTGTTCCTTTGATATCTATCAATAGAGACTACAAGTGTTGACCCTTTTTTTTTTAATTTTTATTTATTTCTAGGAGAGAGAGAGAGAGACAGCGTGAGCAAGGGAGGGTCAGAGAGAGAGGGAGATACAGACTCCGAAATAGGCTCCAGGCTCTGAGCTGGCAGTCAGCACAGAGCCCGACGCGGGGCTCGAACCCACGAACCGCGAGATCATAACCTAAGCGAAAGTCGGACGCTTAACCGACTAAGCCACCCAGACGCCCCATGTGTTGACCCTTTTTTTTAATGTTTTATTTATTTCTGAGAGAGAGAGCGAGCGAGAGAGAGAGAGGGCATGAGCAGGGGAGGGTCAGAGAGAGAGGGAGACACAGAATCTGAAGCAGCCTCCAGGCTCTCAACTAGCTGTCAGCACAGAGCCCAACGTGGGATTCGAACCCACAAACTGTGGGATCGTGACCTGAGCCTAAGTCGGACGCTTAACCAGTCTATTAAGACGCCCCTGACCCTTTTGACTGTCGAAAGCCCACATGGTGCCTGGGTGGTTCAGTCGGTTAAGCGTCTGACTTTGGTACAGGTCAAGATCTCATGGTTCATAGGTTGGAGCCTCGCATAGGGCTCTGTGGTGACAGCTCAGAGCCTGGAGCCCGCTTCGGATTCTGTATGTCCTTCTCTCTCTCTCTCTCTCTCTCTCTCTCTCTCTCTCTCTCTGTCTCCCTCCCCTGCTGATGCTGTCTCTCTCTCAAAAATGAATAAACTTAAAAAAAAAAGAAAAGAAAGAAAAGAAAACCCACAGCATCTCCATCAGCTCCATGACTCTTTCTCAAGGATTCTCAGTATCTCCATGTTCCTGTGAGGGAAAAGAGTTGTTTCTACTCTTCACTATTTTTGTTCTCCCTCCAGTTCAAGAATCCAGAGACACCCAGTGGGAGGCACCAGTATCAATGTGCACACTGAGTCCAGTCTTACAAGGTTGACAGCCAGGGGTCTATTCTGGAATAGTTTAGGAATCCTCCACTGGATCCACCCATTCCTTGCACCTGTCTTTCCCCACAATATGAGGCCCAGATCTTCCTCACACTCAGCTGGAAATGAAGTCAGCTTTACAAAACCAAATTTGCAATTCTGTCTAGTGGTTTGTTTTCATCACGCTGTTTTCCATAGTACCTACATTATGTTGTGCTCCCATCGAGAGAATTCTTGGATTGCCTCTTCTTCACATCCTCATCAACACTTGATATGTTCTCATTGTGTTTGGTTTGTTTAAAGTTTTGGTTGGTTTGTTTTATAATAGCCTTGGTAACAGCTGTGAGGTGATATCTCAGTGGTCTGGCGGTGGATTTCTCTGATGATTAGTGGTGTTGAACACCAAGTCATATGGTGGATGGCATTTGTCTGTCTTTTATAGAGAAATGGGCATTTACATGCTTGACCCAAATTTTAATCAGGTGATTTGTTTATTGTTATGATTATAATTGTGTTTTTTGCTATTGATGTTAAGGAGTCCCTCCAGTATTTTGGATAGTAACTCCTTTTCAGTATTTTTTAATGTAATATCTTCCATTTCATAGACTGCCTTATCGCTCTGCCAACATTTGCTTTGCACCTCTTCTAGTTTGATGTAGTCCCCCTTGTCTGCCTTTGTTCTCTGTTATTTTAATTTCATATCAAATAAATCATTGTCAAGTGACTGTCAGACTTTTATCCTTTGTGTTTTCTTTGAAGACATTTAGGGTCAGGTGTTCTGCTTTACTTTTTATCCATTTTGAGATTTTTTGTGTCAACAGATGTTTATAATGTAAGATTTTGGCCAAATGTCATTATTTTGAATGTATATGTCAACATCATTTTTAAATGTTTATTTTATTTTTGATGGAGAGAGACAGATCATGACCAGGGGAGGCAGAGAGAGAGGCAGATACAGAATCTAGGCTCTGAGCTATCAGCATAGAGCTTGATGCAGGGCTTGAACCCACTAGCTGTGAGGTCATGACCTGAGCGGAAGTCAGATTATTAACCCACTGGTTACCTAGGTGCCCCTAGTCAGCACCATTTATAAGAGACACCATCCTTTCCCCACTGTGTATGTTAGAAATCTCGTGGAGGACTTGCTGACTGGATCTGCACAGTTTTACTTCTGGGCTCCGTAATCTGCTCCACTTCTCTATATGTCTCACTGTATGCCAGAACACACTGTTGTAGCTAATGAACCTCTGAAATATATTTAGAAAGAAATAAGTGTGATGTCTCCAGGTTCTCTCCTCTTCATGATTGTTTGATTACTTTCATGTGTTGTGTGGCTCCATATGAATTAATATATTATTCATATTTCTTTAAAAAATCATTGATATTTTTGACATAAAAAATAAACATAAAATTAACAAAAAAGATAAAGTAGAGAAAAAATAGAAACTTTCACAAATACAGAAAACGAATCAATTACATTAAAATGTGTATTTGGAAAAGATAAGTGAAATTTAAAAAAACATAGGTAGCCTAGGAAAATAGGTAAGACTCAAACAAATGCAATCAAAACTGAAAGAGGAGACAAAACTGAACTAAAGACATGAAAAGGAACATAAGAAAAACTTAGATATTTTAGGCCAACAATTAGATCAAAAGAATAAACTACATATTTTATAGAATTATGTAATCCACCAAGACTGTTTCATGAAAAAATACAAAATTAACATAAAAAATTAATAAGATTTCCTTAATCTAAAATTCATGCCCTCCAAAAAAAAAAAAAAAAACCAGTCTAGAATTACATGGCTTTATTAAAAATTCTACGAATATTTAAAGAAGAATTGACAACAATATTTCTCAAACTACTACAAAACACTGATGAAAAAGAACACTCCCTTGGGGCGCCTGGGTGGCTTAGTCGGTTAAGTGTCCGACTTTCGCTTAGGTCATGATCTAGCAGTTCGTGGGTTCGGGCCCCGCATCAGGCTCTGTGCTGACTGCCAGCTCAGAGCCTGGAGCCTGTTTCAGTCTGTGACTCCCTCTCTCTCTGACCCTCCCCTGCTCACACTGTCTCTCTCTCTCTTTTCTAGAAATAAAGTAAAACAAAGGAAAAAAAAAGAAAAAGAAAAAGAACACTCCCAGATGCATTTTATGAGGACAGCAACTCTCTCATATCAAAGCCAAAGAAAGACACCACAAGAAGGGAAACTACAGGCTAATATCCCAGATTAATGTACATACAAAATTCCTTGATAATCCGATCATACTGAATCCAACAGAACATTGAAAGGATCATACATGATAACTGAGTGTGATTCATCCCTGGGATGTGAGAATCCTTCAGCATATACAAATATATGAATGTGAGACCCTACATTAACAGAGAGAATAATTGAATCTACACTATCATTAATTGTTTCATAAACACATTAGACAAAATTCAACTCATGTTCATCATTTTAAAATAACTCAATTAATTAAAAGGTTACACAAGGAAATTACCTCCACATGATCATGGCCATTATGAGAAGCCCACAACTGACAGAATATTGAACAGTTAAATACTGAAGCCTTTCCTGCCGCATCAGGAGCCAGGCAATGATGATCACTCCCAAAATAAGTATTCAACATGATAATGTGAATACATATGGCACCCGAAACTAGGCCATGTTGCCACCTTGCTTATTTGGATGAAAGTCACTTAAGAAATAGTCAATCTAAGGACACTTGGACCCTCCTTTGTCCCCTGAGCTTTTCTCCCTTGAGAAAGCTTCCTTCCCTGTCCCAGGAAGGGAAAACCAACCTTAGCACCAGAATAGGGAACTTAGGGACAAGAAGGCTGTGCAAACAAACCTACTTACTTGATTACTAATTTAATACTCCACAGCCACACCTTTGCTTTAACTCTGTACAAATCCAATGTTTTCTTGTCTGAAAGTCACAGGGCCACCTGCTATATTCATTCTCTGGGTGTCATATTATAAGGAAGCTCATGCACTTGCAAAATGAAATTTATTCTCTCATGTAGATCTGTCTTATGTAAATTGAATCCTTAGACTGAGTGAAAGCCCAGAGCAAAGAAGGGAAAAGTTTTCTGCTCCTACAACTGGAAGATGTGCCCAAAAAATTAGGAAATAATTTTTAGGCAATACTAGATAGCATATTATTTAGGCAATAACAGATTGCCTATTATTAGGCAATAACAGACTAGATTCTTCATACTGTCCAGCACCATCTACACAAAGTGACCTAAAAGTGCCTCTTTAACCCTGTCGTTCACTTTTAAAGAATTCAATCTAAGTCTGGAGTTTGATGTATAATCAAAGGATATGCAAATAGGGCCCTGCCTGTGCTGATTAAACCAGCCCAGCCTCAACCCTGCAGCTGGGAGAGGAGCCCCAGCCCTGGGAGTCCCAGGTGTTCCCATTCTGTGATCAGGACAGAACACAGACATCTCATCATGGAGTTTGTGCTTGGCTTCGTTTTCTTTGCTGCTGTTTTAAAAGGAAATCCATGGTAAACAAGAGACACTGAGTATGTGAGTGGATATGAGTGAGAAACACTAGATGTGTGACAGGTTCCTGACCAGGATGTCTTGTGTCTGCAGGTGTCCAGTGTGAGGTACAGCAGGTGGAGTCTGGGGGAGGCCTGGTGAAGCCTGGAGGGTCCCTGAGACTCTCCTGTGCAGCCTCCGGATTCACCTTCGGTAGCGACAGCATGAGCTGGGTCCACCAGGCTCCAGGGAAAGGGCTGGAGTGGGTTTCATGGATTAGTACTGATGGAAGTAGCACAAGCTACGCAGACTCCGTGAAGGGCCAGTTCACCATCTCCAGAGACAACGCCAAGAACACAGTGGATCTGCAGATGAACAACCTGAGAGTCGAGGACATGGACACGTATTTCTGTGCGAGAGACACAGTGAGGGGCCATCAGGGTGAGCCCAGACACAAACCTCCCTGGAGAAGGAGATCAGCACCACCAGGGGGCGCACACTATGCACAGCTCTGGTTTATATTCCCAGGAGCAGGGAAGATGGAGGTCACAGGCAGGTTTCCTGTCAGGGTCTGGGGCTTCCTTTCCACACAGCAGTTTCCCCCAGGGAGCCTCTTTGGACCCATGACTCTGTGCTTACCTATTCACGCTCCGTATAAGAAACTTTGTTGTCATAGGAAAACTACACTAATATGCACAAAAGACATAACTGTTTGCACTTGCTTCCTCCTGTCCCTAAATATTATTGAATGACAGATACCCTGAGGCACAGCAGCTGAACCTTTACAGGATCCCAGATGCACCGACTGTGCAGCTAGGACCACGGACCCCACAGGTCCTCATTTTCCTCACCCAGCTCTTGTCCCAGTCAAACAACAGCACACTTCCTTCATGGCACTTTGCTACTCAGGACTTTAAATGGCTTACAGCTTTATTCAATTACTCTAAACAAAAAATAAATCATCTCATGAGGAACAGAACCGAAAGCACATTGGTTTACATGATTACATAGGTTGAAAGTCCATGACCTACAATCACAAGCTGGAGACCCAGGAAAATCGGTGTAATTTTCGTCTCATTCTGAACTAGTGTCTACCCCGAGAACCTGGGGACTTGGTGATGTAACTCTCCGAACAGGGTGGGAGGAGACCAATGGTCCAGCTCAAACATGCACGTGGGAAGTAGAAATGAGGGAATTCTTCCTCCCTCTGCATCGGATTCTATTCAGAACCTCACTGGAGTGGGTGATGCCCATGCAGACAGAAAGCATGGATGGAAATGCCAATCTCTTCTCAAAACACATCACTGACATCCACAGAAACAATGGTTAATCTGGGTACCCAAGACGCAGTCAAGGTAACACAGAAAGTTAACCATGACAAGTCAACCTCCTGTAAACGTGGAGCTAAAAGACTGAAGACCCAGAAGCCCCTGCCATCGCTGGGTGCAGTCAGGTGGGCATATCAGTGCCTTTGTGGAAAAGGAGGACAGAGGCCCATAGGAAGTACTGAGGTCTGAGGATCCCCCAGGTCGCATGGGAAGAGACAGTTCCCTTCCTGAAATGCATCTGGGAGAGGAGGCACCGCCTCTTATCAGCAGGAGAGCTGACACGCACCACTGCACTGCCCTGTTCACTAGCATCGGAGCCCCTGCTGAGAGCATCCCTGGATGCTGGCTTTTTAGTTATCTGTCACTATGACCTCCAAGCCCCCAAGTGTTCGTGCAACTGCTCTCCTGGGACAAACCAGCTCCAGCCACAGCACAGCAAGACCCTCTTCCAGAGGATAAGTGGGGGTCCCTGTCATATTGAGTTCATACAGGTTGGAGTTTTCAAACCCAGATAGAGCTCCTGACATAAAACATAAAGTCACTGTGCTGCCAGGTGGGCATATGGCTTAGATACAGACAGGGTGAAGGGAGGGTTCTGACCGAAGTCTGGGACCCACAGGTGCAGATTGATCTCTCTTTGTGAGGGCGTCCTGATCAAGGGCGGGTGGGAACTCCATCTCCAGGGACTAGAGAGTGGGCTGATGCCAGTATTTCCTCCCACCAATCAGCATGAACAGACTTCAGTGAGCAGCACAGCGCCCCCCAGTGGAGGCTGAGCCGCTCACAGCAAGCCTTTCCCCACCCCACTCACTTTCCTTAGTGAGTGCTTCCTTGCTAGGGAAAGAGTGCCTGGAAACCAGAGCAGCAGTGCGCCCCTCCCCCCAAAGACGAGCATAAACCCCCACACTCATCAGGTCTACTAACCACATAGTGAGACATAGCTCAGCTCTAGGGGAAATAGGAATTAGCCTCTTTTAACAAGCAACCAAACTCACCTATTTAAACTTACAACACTGTGGACAAGGTCCATATACTCCCCACTGGAAGCAAGGAGAAACTCTGCAGAGGACTGACCTGAGGGACAGAGTAGCCAATACATGACAGCACAGTGCACACAACACACACAATAAATGCTTCATGAAGTGTCAGGCCAGTACATGAACTCTTCTTGATAAAGACACTGCTCTAGAAGCAGAAAACATAACAAGATTTTCTAAAACACAGAAGAAGCCAGAGACATAAACATGCACCATGATGGAGGAATTTCTCCCAAAATAAAAACGATAAAATGTCATTGTCAGGGATATGATTAAAACACCTATAAGTAATGTGCCTCAAACAGAATTTTTAAAAAGTATCATAAGGATGCTAGCTGTGCTTGAGGAAAACATAGAAGACATGAGAGATACTGTTACTGAAGATAGAAGAGACCTAAAAACAAATCAGGCTGAAAATTTTTAAATGCTGTAACTGAGATAAGAAACTGATTGGATATCATAAGCTCAAAGCTGAAAGAAGCAGATGAATGAGTAAGTGACATAGAAGATAAAATTGTGGAGAAATTGAAGCAGGAAAGATGAGGAAAATTAAAATATTGCATCACATATGTATACATAGGGAACTCAGCAACTACATAAAATGTTATAACATTCTTTTCAAAGGATTCCCAGAAGAAAAAGAGAGGGAGAAAAGGGAAGAAGTTTTATCTCAATGAATTATACTGGAAATTTCCACAAACTGGGTAGGAAACCGATGTCCACATCTAGGAGGCACGGAGAACTTCCATCAAAATCAACAAAAGCATGCCAACACTAAGACATATCACAGTAAAACTGGCAAAATATACAGATAATGAAAAACCCTAAAAGTAGTACAACAAAAGAAGTTTAACTAATAAAGGAAGATAGAAAATATTGTAGCAGATTTCTCCACAGAAACCTTCAGGACAGAAGGAAGTGCCATGGTAACCTCAACATGCTCAATTGAAAAATATGCAGCTAAGAATACTTTATCCTGTAAGACTGTCATTCAGATAGAAGGAAAAATAGAATTTCCCAGACAAACAAAACCCAAAGGAGTTCATGGTCTCTAAACAAGCCCTGCAAGAAATATTAAAGGGGACTCTGTGAGTGGGAAAGGAAGACTAAAAACAAGAAAGACTAAGAAAGAAAGAGAAAATCTCCAGAAATAATGACTTTAGAGGAAACACAATGGCACTAAGTTTATATCTATCAATAATCACTGTGAATGTAAATGGGCAAAATGCTCCAATCAAAAGACATAGACTATTAAAATGGATTTATGAACTTTCTCTCATGCTGTTAAATGTTGTTTGCTTCTAGGCAACTTAAGATAGAAAATTTACTGTGCATCATATATGGATTCTAATGACATTACTTCCCAAAATGATAGGTAGTAAATTGTGTTTCTGTTCACTTCAAATTATTTTAAAATTTCCATTATGATTTCTTTGATCTATGGGTTATTGCTTAAAACTAAACATTTTCTAGTTTAAGAAAATAAACAAAATGGATATAAAAAACAAAAATCTTTCTATTCACTGCATACAATAGACTCATTTTCAATTTAAACAGCTGTGGATTGAAAGTGCAGAGATTGAGAACAATTTATCATGCTAATGGACATCAAAAGAAAGTTTTAAGACTATACTCATATGACACTTACTAGATTTTAACCAAAATCTTTAACAAGAAATGATGAAAGCAGTATATCATCATAAAAGGTTCTACCCAACAAGAAGATATAAAGCTTTAAATATTTATACCACAAAATTGGAAGCACTGAAATATATGAATCAATTAATAAGAACATAAAGAAACTCACTGATAATAAAACAATAATAATAATAGAGAACTTTAACAGTCCACTTACAGCAATGGACAGATTATCTAAGCTGAAAATCAATAAGGAGACAATGACTTTGAAAGACACATTGGACAAAATGGAATCAACAGATATATTAAGAACATTCCATCATAACACAGCAGAATACACATTCTTTTTGAATGCACATGGAACATTCTCCAGTTAGATCACATACTATGTAACAAATCATCCCTCTACAAATACAAAATGATTGAGATCATACATGCATATGTTCATACCACAACACAACGAAACTTGAAGTCAATCCCTAGAAAATCTTTGGAAACATCACAAATACATGGAGGTTAAAGAACATTGTATTAAAGAATGACTGAGGTTTTTAGGAA